CGCCGCTGCCCGCCGCAGGCACCAGCTCCAGCTGCAGCTCCGGTTGCACCGGGGTCAGCTCCAGCTGCACCTCGTGAGGGGGCTGCGCACCCAGGTCCACCGGGGTCAGCTCCAGCTGCACCTCCTGCCGCTCCAGCTGCTCCTGCTCCAGCCGCTGCTGCTGCTCCAGCTGCTTCTCTAGCTGCCGCAGCTGCTCCTGCAGTTTTAGCTGCAGCTGTCGCTGCTCCTGCTGGCGCTCCAGCTCTTGCTGCCGTTCCAGCTCCTGGCGCTGCTGTTCCAGCTCCTGCTCTGACCCCATGTCCACTGGCATAAGCTCCAGTTCCACCTCCTCCTCCTCCTCCGGGTCCAGCGGAGGCGGCTGCTGTTGCTGCTGCTGCTGCTGCTGCTGCATCTGTGCCTGCTGCTGTAGCAACAGCTGCTGCTGTATGTGTGCCTGCTGCTGCTGCAGGAGCTGCTGCTGCAGCTGTGCCTGCTGCTGGTGGTGCAAAAACTGCTGCTGTAACTGCTCCTGCTGCTGCAGCAACAGCAGTTGCTGCTGCTGCAACTGTTCCTGCTGCTGCTGGAACTGTTGCTGCTGCAGCTGCTCCTGCTGCTGGAGCAGTTGCTGTTGATGGAGCAGTTGCTGCTGTAGTAGGTCTTGCCCTTGTGGCTGCAGCAACAGCTGCTGTTGCAGCTGCTGCTGCTGTAGCTGTTCCTGCAACAGCTGTTGCACCTGCACTTGCTGCTGCTGTAACTGTTCTTGCTGCTGCAGTGATAGCTGCTGCTGCTGCCTTTGCTGCTGTTGGAGCTGTTCCTGCAGCTGCTCCTGCATTTGCTGCTGCTGCTGCTGCTGTAACAACAGCTGCTGTTCTTGCACTTGCTGCTGGTGTGGCTGCTGCTGCTGCTCTGGCTGTGACAGCTGGTACTCTTGCTGCTGTACTTGTTCCTGCTGCAATTGTTGACTTTGTTCTTGCTGCTGCTCTAACTGCTGATCTTGTGCCTGCTGCTGCTGTAATTGCTGCTGCTGCTGCTGCACTAGATGTTGCTCTTGCTTCTGGGGCTGTTCCTGTGGCAGTTGTTGATCTTGTGCTTGCTGCTGCAACCTCTGATCTTGCACTTGCTGCTGCTGCTGTAATTGCTCCTGTTGCTGCTCTAACAGTTGTGGCTCTGGCACTTGCTCCTGGCTCTGCTCTTGCCTTATCTGCAGCTGTTCCTGTGGCAGTTGTTCCTCTTGCACTTGGTGCTGCTGCAACAGCTGTGGCTCTGGCACTTGCTCCTGGCTCTGCTTTTCCATTCCTTGCAGCTGGGGCTCCAGCTCATGGTGCTGTGTGCATTGGTGGCTTTCCTGCAGTTCCTGCTGTGGTGAAGACAGCTGCTTCTGCCCATCGTGCCCCTGCTGCTCTTGTGACAATTCTGGCTGGTTCTGTGGTTGCTGCTGTTGCAGTTCTGGCTGCTGCTTTGACTGTTGCACGTCCTGCTCTCCCAGCTGGGCTTCCTCAGTGATGGTACTGGTCCCGGATGAGGCAGGGACTGTTGCTGGTGGTGGGCTGCTGCTCCCCTCCTGCACCTCTTCCTGATTGCCACTTCCACCACTACCACCTGTAATGGGATGACAGGAAGCCAGAGAGAAGGAGCTGTAGGGGGCTCCCAGGACCTGACCACTCTCCTGTCAGTGTACTGCTACTCGAGGTTAAAATAAGGAGCGAGCAGCAGGAACCCATAAGCATGAGACCAAGTGACAATGGCAACCTGGTTGAATCTGAAATGCCAGGGGAAGGAGCCTACACTATGGTCACCTCATTCTTAGGGATCCCAACTCCCTATACCCTCCTCTGTTCCTCTCTTCACATAAGCTCCGTGGTTAGATCTTGATGCCCATACCAGTGCAGGTGCCAAGGACTGCCCACACTATTCCAGCGGAAGTCAGTGAACTCACTGTCCCAACTGCCAAAGTGACCTCAGCCCTGGTCACACCTTAAATGAATGAAAACCACCTTCTCTATAAACGATAACACCTCTGTGGGGTGCTGGTGGCTCACACCTACAATCCTAGCTACTTGGGCCAAGCCAGCCCAGGTGAACCTACAAGACTATCCAATTAACCAGCAAAAAGCTGGAATTTAAAGCATGACTTGAGTGGTACAGTACCAACTGTGAGTGCAAAAGCCAAGCAAAAGCACGAAGTCCTGATTCCAAGCACCAGTACCAGCCCAAGTACAACATTTTGAGTTTCTTTTCCTTTGTTGTTTTTGTTTTGTGTAGTGCTGAATGTTGGTTTCAAAGCCTTATGCTTGTTGGGCAAGTGTTCTACCACCTGAACCATGTCTCCAGCCCTTCTGGCTTTTTTTTCAGATAGAGTTTCGTGCTTTTTTGTTTGTTTTGCCAGTCCGGGGGCTTGAATTCTGGGTCTGGGCCCTGTCAGCTCAAGGATAGCACTCTACCACTTAAGCTACAGCATCACTTCTGGGTTTCTCTGTTTATGTGGTACTGAGGAATCAAACCCAGGGCTTCATGCATGCCAGGCAAACACTCTCCCACTAAGCCACATTTCCAGTGGATTTCATGCTTTTGTCCAGGAAGGCATTAGACTGTTATCCTCTTACCTCTGACTCTTGAGTAGCTAGCTGGGATTATGAGTTTACCAACATGCTTGATCAATAATAAAGCATTGCTGTAAGGCTGCCTGGAATGGTTGCCACAAAACAGCTTCTAGAAATCCCCAAGTGTCAGAGAGACTGCCAGGTCTCATGTGGGGACAGGCGTCCTCAGTGCAGGTCCTCACTCTTCCAGTTATCAGCTGTCCACAGGATCAGGGACCCTGAATAGACTCTCAAACCTGGAAGATGCTTCCAAATGCCCTCAAGCTTGGAAATACATTAATTGTCTCCATTAAAGCACTCAAAGACCAGAAGAGGTTTAGATGCTGTTCAGGAACATAAGGGACTAACTTAAAGCCTCAAGTCAACATAGCCAACTGCTTAACTCCTGGCAACTCTGGCTACTTCTTTTGCAAAAGGTCCTGTATCTTTCCCAGGGATATTATGAGAGTTAGAATAAATATAGCAATCCCAGTGTTGTGCCTGGAAACACAGGAGACACCTTACTGCTACACTGTCCCTTCTACACAAAATCCACATTCAGTTTCTCATTCTGAGTATTAATGTTGTAATATCACAATCAATCCTATTCTTTTTTTATTCCTATGCTTTTCTGTGCAGGTACTGGGACTTGGATTCAGGTCCTCACACTCTAGCTCAGCTTTTCCACTCAAGGCTGGTATTGTACTATTTCAGCTACATCTTTACTTCCAGATTTGGCTGGTTATTTGGAAATAAGAGTCTTTCAGATTGTTCTGCCCAGGCTGGCTTCAAACCAGGACCCTCAGATCTCAGGCTCCTAAGTAAGTGTGTGTGTGTGTGTGTGTGTGTGTTTCTTAATTTTTTTGTTTATGTGGTACTGAGGAATTGAACCCAGGGCCTGAAGCCCTGGCAAGCACTCTACCACTAAGCCACATTCCCAGACCCATATATAAATATATTTCTAATAACCCTGGCTTAGGCTAATAAATCAGAGTTCATTTTTCATGAAACATTTGTACCCATTGGGATAGTGGATGAAGACCTAAAAACCTGTCCATATTAGCAGTCCATTTTCTCTTATCTCCTCTACTCCTGTCTGCTCTGGATAGATTACACCCCTGTGAATCTCTTCATGTCTAGATTTGCCACATGGGCCACTCTAACTTTTCTTCTTGACTTTCTTTCCCTTCCTTCCTTCTTTTTTTTCCTTCCTTCCTTCCTCCCTCCCTCCCTCCCTCCCTTTCTCCCTCCCTCCCTCCTTCCCTTTCCTTCCTTCCTT